TTCCTCATTTTGACACCTGCACCTGTTGGAAGAGGCCTAAGCCAGCTGGCTCGGCAGGTTTTATGCCCTTGAAGATGCTGTCTCCACCTCACACAACTTCCTTCCCCCCTTGTCTGAAACATCCTATTTGTCCTTTAAGACACGCCTCCTAATTTCTAGACCCCCCAAGCCAGGGCTGTGCTCTGTCTCCTGCTCCACGTGTACCTCTCCCTCACGAGACAGCAAGGCCTGCGAGGGCGTAATCTTTGAGCCCTGCTGCATAGTTTGCTGTGCTGCAGTCAAGGGAGGAACTTAGTGATGAACAGACAAACAAGTGAGTGAGTGATGCAAAGGATGAATGAGACACGCATGTCAGAGTTGGCAAATGGCTGGCTGGGGGACAGATGAACCAGTTGTCACTGGGTCCTACCCGTGCCTTCTTTTCTGGGGCAACCATTTCGAACTTTTTGAGGTATTTACCTCCATTGTTCGAAATGTGCTTCCACTACTATTTCGTGGAAGTGGTGAGCACTGCCTCCTCAGGTGTGACAGCCACACTTGAAGATTCACAAACTAACTCTCTTCCTCATCGCTCAAGAGTAGGCAATAATTTTTTTAAAACTAATTATTTAAATCAGTTGATTGATAGCATCTCTCTTTAATACATTTTTAAGAAAGAAAAAACTGGACCGTATTATACCAAAGACTCAGGCACCTCCTTTTGAATACGTGCTCGGCCTGACGTGAGGAATGGCGGAAACGGGCCTCGGGCCAACCGCCGGGCTCTGCTGTTGGACGTGGCGGGACCTAGAGACGACCCGGGAAGCCAATTTCTAAAAAAGAACCCCGGCACGCACATCGACGAGGAACTTGGTAGGAGAGACCAAGCGTTATAAAACTATTTAATGGTCTTTGAATAAATTTCTCCCTTTTCATTTTCACTTCAATGAGAAATTAAATGTAACAGAGCAAAATCAACTCTCTTGTATTTCCAGACGAGACTGGACCCTGGAATCAGGCAGACCCGGGCTGGGAACCCCACTCATCTCCTCCTAGGACCATGCCCACCATCTCTTTGTGCGCCAGCTTCTTCCACTGTAAAATGGAGATAATAACAGTAACCAACTTACGGTATTTGTAAGGATTAAATGAGGTAATATGAGTAAAGTGCCTAGTGTGGTGTTTGGCACATGGTAAATGTTTAATGACTGTTAGGTGTTAATATCATCATTACTATTATTATTCTCATACAGTTCTAGAGTTCACTTCTGTTTTCATATTTGAACATATTAACATTTATATTGTATGTTCATAATTGGCTTGTTAATTTTAGACTGAAAATCACTACATTTTCTGTCGCCAGCTCTATATGGAGGACTGAAAATCCTCTATCGCATTTTCCCCTGGGGAGCTGCATTATTGTTTCAAGCGATAATCACTTGAACTTTTTGTACTTCCCACAGTGCCTGGTACAGTGCAGAGAAAACAGTGGGCCTTATAAAGTGGTACTAAATCAAATAAAGAAAATGAAAGGTAACAGCGTAATGCAAGGATATAGTCCATGCAGGGGACATAACCTGTGGCAAACAACCTCCACTTTAATAAAATCGCTGGAAGTAACTCTAGATACATCCTTAATAGCTTGGACTCTATGGAAGAGTACCTGGAAATCTCACAAAACTGGCATTTCAATGGTGTCTCATTTGGCTGACTCACATGTAAGATGCCAGTGAGCTTTGCGGGCAGGGGAACTCCACAGAAAACATAATCTTGGAAGCACAGCAGAATGAGCAAATATTATTTAAGGTTTGAGGTCAAATGCGTCCTCTTTTTCAAAATATAAGCTTTCATTATAAAAATCACACTCACAAAGAATTAAAGAGGGAATAGGGAGTTAAAGTTTAGTGGGTACGGAGCCTCAGTCTGGGATGATAACTTCCGGAGATGGTGGGGGTGATGGTTGTACAACGATCTGAAAGTACTTAATGCCAGTGAACTGTGTGCAGAAACTGGTTAAAATGATAAATGTTATGCCATATATATTTTACCAGAGTAAAAAAATGTATAAAGGAGTTTTAAAAATCACAGGCTTTCACACAGCTCTTTAAGCATGAGCGTGCATATGTAATAAAATTTTCAGCAACTTTCTGTCATTCAACTATAACAATCTCATTTAAACTCCAATAATCTTAGCAACGACCTTAAGTGAGAATTAAATAAGAATCATTCACATAAAACAATAGCAGTAACATCTTTCAGAACAGCTGATGCTGACCAGAGGGCTTTCAAGAAGTTGCCAGTCCTTGCTCTGTGTTCCATAGATGGGCTCAGGTACAAAAGGTGTCATTTCAAAGTCAGAAGGAAAAAGTTGTCTTTTATGAAAGTGAAGAGAAGACAAAGAAAGTAGACACTAGAAATTCTTTCGAGAGGTAAAAAAGGAGCTCAAAATGCATTGATATCCTGAAACTGAAAGATATTCAGGTAGCTTTCATTAGTCTACTAATTTTTGCAGCCCAAGAAAAATCCAAATGCACTGTAAAGAAACTGTTCTTAGCTCCATCTTTTCTGCAAATGGCTCGTGGGAGATTGAAGGGTGAGGGAGCCATTCTTTTCTTTGTTGAACTTTTTGTAATTTTTGTGATTTTTTGTAAGGAACGTTTTGCCCTGCAGTCAGCAGGCGGGCAGAAGCTTGGGCGCCCCTGTCCTCTGCCCGTCACCAACCCACCCACATGCACTTGGTGGTCTCAACCCAGTGCACATGAGAGCTGGACAAACACCCAGGACCCAGGGGACGGAAAAGGGGGAAGGCTGTCCCTCCGCTGCCTTTTTCATGTCTTTGTTGTTCTTTCTCATTATCTTCTATGGCCCAAAAGTAAATGATAAAGTTAATTTTTAGCAGCAAAGTATGCATATTTTGGTCCTTGCTTTCCTAGGATATATTTATTAGCAGGCTAAGCACCCCGATTGTGCGGCCAGATTTTAACAAGTTTGCACATGCAGTTAGTCTGGTTGTTTTTTAGAAAGGAAAAAAGTACCTTTTTCTTGACACTCTGTAAGCTGGTCTATTACAGCAAACCTGAGTGGAAGTTTTTCCCCGGAAAGAAACTTTTCCTTCCCATCTTAGGGCTGATAAATCTACATGAAAACCTAGCAAACCCCTTTGGCTGTGTCAATTCAATAGCCTCTTAAGGAACAAAGATGGCGGGGCTCCAGAGGGCGAGTCGTCCACTGACACTTCCTCTTATTGCCCTCTGTGGCATCTTTCCAGCCCCCAGCAGGCTTCTCCCGTTACCCACACTGGTAACCGGCTTGCTAAGACACCCCTTACTGGCTTACTGGCTGGCTGGCTCCCCTTCCCCACGCCCACAGTGCTGCTTCCCGGGAACACCGCTCAAATAAACCAACGTCACCAGACCCCTTCTCTCAGGACTCAGTTTGGGCAAAACCCACACTAAGGCAGATGCCATGACCATATCCATTTAGAAAGAACTTCTGGCCGCAGACAGTGAACCGCACTGGGCAGGCCGGGGCAGCCGTGGGGAGCGAGAGGCGCGGACGGTGGGGGTGGGGGACCCACAAGGGAGATGGGGGGGTGGGTTCTGCAGAAGGACAGAGACTCGCAGGACACTCAGCAGAAGGCTGGATCCGGGGGTTCAGATCTGAGACCCTCAGCCTGTGGGCGGTGGGCAGGATCGTGGGGCGAACGAGGCCCCCTGAAGAGCAGCGCAGGCTCGAATCCGGAATCCCGGCGACACTGAAGTTACGGAAGGGACACAAAGAGGCACCAGTCAGAGGCGAGAAGCAGTAATCAAAAGCGGGGAGCGAGCCTGGGAAGAGTGCGTCTGAATCCGACGAGCGTCAAACGCTGCAGTGAACTCGGGGTCACCGGGCGGCGAGGGCGGGGGGCAGCGCGGGGGCCCGAGGGACCGAGGGGGCGAGCCGTGCGCTCAGACAGTGTTGGCGCCTTTCGAAATGCCGGGTGGCGAAGGGACAGAGAGGAGACCACTGATAAAGGGGATACGTCTAAGGAACGGGACGGCGTCTGAATCCGACGAGCGTCAAACGCTGCAGTGAACTCGGGGTCACCGGGCGGCGAGGGCGGGGGGCAGCGCGGGGGCCCGAGGGACCGAGGGGGCGAGCCGTGCGCTCAGACAGTGTTGGCGCCTTTCGAAATGCCGGGTGGCGAAGGGACAGAGAGGAGACCACTGATAAAGGGGATACGTCTAAGGAACGGGACGGCGTTTCTTAAAAGATGGGGCAGACCGGAATGAGGTCACGGCCGGAGAGAAGTTCACACGTGGGAAAGGGCAAGACGGAAAGACAGAAGGACGCCCGGGTGGAGGACGGTGGCAGCGAGGCGGCCTGGAGCGCGAACGGCCGCGCGGGGGGCTCCGCCCGAAGCGGCAGGGCCTTCCGGGGGTGCGGTCGGGGCTCGGGGCGGTTAAAGCGCAGGTGGAGAGAGTCAGAGCACAGCGGGCTGCGCCCGGAGGGGGTCCGGCGGGGCGGGCCCCG